CATCGGAACAATGCCGAGCCCCACCTCAGGCCGTGCCCCGCGACCTTGTCGTTCGTTTTGGCGAGCGATCGGCGAGCAAGCGGGCGTGCGGTGGCTCGAAAAAAGTTCGAGCACCGATGGGTTCGTTGTGGTGCTGAAAGGAAGGCGCACCCCGACGGGCACGGAGCACCGCCTCGGTTGATCCCAGACCTTGGCAACCGCTCCTAAGAACGAGTGACGTAACGACCGCCCTCGGGCTTCTCCGCGTGTTGCTCGCAACACCGGAGGGGACCGGGCGACCTCCTCTTGCAGGAGATCAGGTAGCAGTCCCCCTCCCACGCAGCTAGCTCAGTAGGCCCGCCATCCCAAAGGCTAGTCGTGATCGGGAGCGAGGCAAGTCGCGAATACGGTCGGTTGGGGCAGCGGGGTGGCACCCGATGTCCTCTCCATACCGCACCTCGACGAACCTCGACACCAGGGAGCCTGCTTCCCGGCGGCACCGGGCGTCCATGCGGAACAAAAACCAAATCCCTTTTCCCCCGATGGTAACAGGTCGGACTCTTTCCCAAAAGCGGAAGCACCGGGAAGTTCGACGCCTGACCTAGGACGTATCCTCAGAAAGTTGGCTTGCCGGAATCCTCCTCCCTCCTAGCGTCCCCCGCCACCGGTGCTCCGTCTCTCTTGGCACCGGCCGGTGTGACTGCGGGGTCTTGCTCGCCCGGCCTTCCGAAATCCTCTTCGGTCGGCTGGGAAGGAGCGCCCGTGGTAATGGCAAGGGACCGTTTCTCAGCCGGGTCCGGTCGCAGTGCATCAAGGAGCTGCGAACGGGCACGGGATATAGACCTCTCCGCGATCGGGACTGGCCGTCCGGTCGCAAAACCCTCCCCTTGAGCGGGGCCCCCATGAGCCCCGGCACCTAATAAAAACTGGGACCCCACTCCTGACGATGGATATCTTGGAACCTGGCTCGATGAAGAACGCAGCGAAATGCGATACGTAATGCGAATTGCAAAACTCCGTGAATCATCGAAACTTTGAACGCATGTTGCGCCCGAGGCCTCGGCCGAGGGCACGTCTGCTTGAACGCCACACACATCCAGGTGGAGCCACGCATCCGCACCCACACCCTCCGCACGCGGCTACGTGCGGCCGGGTGAACGGGACGGAACTGCCAAAATGCGTCGGCATACGAGGGGCGCTCGGGTTTTGCTCGAGACAATCGCCCGTACCTGGGAAAACGAGATGGCCGTCGCAACCCGTGCACAACGGGGGGCAGTCGGCTGAAATCGCAGGGCCGCCGCAAGCCCGTCTCCTCTCCGTCTCGACCCCAGTGCAGATCCCCGGATGCCAACCGGGAGGACGCGAGCGGGACGAGCGAAACGAGGCGGGTGGCGACCCCGCTGGGCTCGGTGAACCCAGCCGGCCAACGGACCCCGTCCGGACCTCCCAGCAGGTGGGGGGGTATCGGATGCCAAACCGTTCCTCTTTTCCTCTCCCGAGAAGGCCGCGAAACGGAAAAATGGAGCCGAGGGCGTGGCAACCCTCGGTCTCCGCCCTCCAAAGTAGCGTGCACGGACCGGGCGAGGGGCGGACGGGGCCCGTACAAAAATGGTCGGACCGGGGAAGAACCGGGCAAACCCCCAAGCGATGGCTTCAAGTCAGGCGAGACCACCCGCTGAATTTAAGCATATTACTAAGCGGAGGAAAAGAAAACAACCGTGATTCCTTTGGTAGCGGCGAGCGACCAAGGAAAAGCCCAGGCTTGAAATCCGAGGGCCTCCGGCCCTCCGAATTGTAGTCTGAAAAGGAAGCGTTCTCTGTGACGGGCGCCGCCTTAAGTCCACTGGAAAGTGGCGGCAGAGAGGGTGACACCCCCGTCGGGCGACGACCCGTCACTTCACGAGGCGCATCCGAAGAGTCGGGTTGCTTGGGAGTGCAGCCCCAACATGGGTGGTAAGCTCCATCCAAGGCTAAATACGGCCAGGTTTCCGATAGCGAACAAGTACCGCGAGGGAAAGATGAAAAGAACTTTGGAAAGAGAGTAAAAAGTGCTTGAAATCGTCAGGAGGATAAGCGCATGAGCCCAAGCACACCTGCGGGACCCGTTCACGCGGGGCCCGGAGGTACGCAGCGCCGGTCGATGCCGCGGGAAAAGGAGCTCGCTCCCACCGCGGCGGAGACCGAGGATGGCCCTCACGGGTCGGCGCTGGCGAAACGGGCTGATGCGACCCGTCTTGAAACACGGACCAAGGAGGCCAACGCGGCTGCGAGCCAATGGGTTGAAAACCACAATGGCGACAGTGAAAGCGACCCGTGAGAAGGCGGCCTCGTGCTGCCCGCACCACGGACCGCCCCGGGGGCCTCGGCGCCCGGGGTGCGTTGAGTAGTCGCGTTGGGACCCGAAAGATGGTGAACTATGCCTGAGCAGGGCGAAGCCAGAGGAAACTCTGGTGGAGGCCCGCAGCGCTACTGACGTGCAAATCGTTCGTCAGACTTGGGTATAGGGGCGAAAGACTAATCG